GTCAAAGATGAAAAAAGTCAATTTTCAACTGTCAATATTTCCTTAACAGTTAAAAATAGGTACATGACATTGTTCATGAAATATGTCTAGAATTTTCCGCAGAACCCAGAAATGTCATAATATACGGCGTGATACATCTGAAAAGACAAAGTTTCTGATATTTCCCAAAAAACGAAAGATCTGACAACCATGTAAATACTACCATATTATCGGCCATATTACAATACTCTTTCAAACCAAAATTCATAAAAATCGTGCGAGCCGTTTTCGAAAAATAATTGAGACGTTCCATACTTAAAACTCACTCTGTATTCGTTACCCACAAAATCGCAACAGCCAAATTATTTTCGTGAAAAAAAATACTTATCAGCATAAAAAACCGATACTATCAACATAAAATTCTGGCGTCGGCCATTTGTAAAAATAAAGGAAGTCAGAAGCGTAGGCAACCAAACAAACAACTACTGACATAATTTGGCCTTCTAGGTTAAGATCTAGGCCATAATTATGGTAATGTCCCTAGGTTCATGCTGTCCCTAGGTTGAGCAACTTCCCCTAACACAGAAGTGATCCATAATGTACTGACTGAAGAGATTTTTATATAATGCAGTTTTTTTTTTCACTTTTTTCTTTTTTTTTTTTTCACTTTTTTCTTACTAGAGGCAGCATCAAGGACCAAGTTCGGGAATTAGCTCCAGGAGCATAATTTGTTCATAACCTGTTTGTATGGTTTACATTTTTTGTTCAATATTATGGATGAAATTAATGCATAAATAGAATAGGAGCCTAAATAAATACGGCTAGTCAAGTTGATGTGTCTGCCCGTTTACACATACGAGCGTCTATGTTCCGAGCAGTGAGATGAGTACCGAGCATCTACCTAGTATACTGACGTATATCCCGCCTTCATGCATCGCACCCAATGTGCGGATTTTGAAGCAAAGAAAGAGAAATAGAGATATATGATCTCGCATAAGTCTATCATTGTCAAACGAAGTAGAACGAGGTCATCATCTGCACATGCGTTAAATGCTAGATTCTTATTGGGCGGCGGTTGATATTTTGTAACATGCTTCTTGTGCGGTGTTGTCATATCAAGTTGAGGATATTATGCGTCATTTCGGCTTTTTGTTTTTCTGGCGATTTATTGCCAACCCTGCAATATCAGCTACTTAAAATTGATGCTTATTGGTGGAATAATTTTATACTGACGCATGCGCATTAGAAAACAAAATTCTCCTTAGACAAATATGGCATAATTTCTCATATTGTTTGCTTCACCAGCTCGAAACAACCCGCGATATACGTCAGTATAATAGGTATATGGTTCCGAGTGACCTAATATTGATTTGATTTTTGATTGAGATAAACAGACCTGAAATACGTGATAAAATAACGTGGCAGCCCTTTATTATTTTCCGACAATGGATGAAAAAAGCAGTGATTAAGTTGTGAAAGGAAACATTGCGGTTCCTTGAAGATGAAATGTTGTATGCTATTTGGCCCAGAAATTCTTTTTGTGCTGAGCTCAAGGTTTGAAGCCCGGCGCGTAGCCCAACCCAACTTCTTGGCCAAAGGACATAAATACGGTATCCGCCAAAATAAACAGTAGGTACCGAAATCTAGAGCTATTAGTAGTTGCGCACGCAAGTTGCATTTATCACATTTCGCTTACTTGGCATTAGTTATGAGGTTGACTTTAAGTTAAGCTTAAAATATTCGTCATTATGTATCTTGCAACTGAAGAAACAGTTTTCCTAGTAGAGCACCATTTCCGGTCATACGGATTTGGAAGGAAAATAAATAACGGACCTGTTTATTGTATTTTAATTTTACAAGAAATTTCAATCTAACAAAGTGATTTCTAAATCAACGAAAAAATATATATTTTCACCAAACCATAATTTATTTTCAGTGATATACGTATAGGTACGCAAGGCAAAATTGAGATTCCATATTCAAGCTTAGGAGAGTAGTGTAAAAAAAAAGATTCCCCTGGGCCATAAATCTATAGAGGATATCCGCCTCGGAATAAAATGACAAGAAATTCTTTGGGGCATAATATCATGCAAATATATGTAGAGACTGACTTCATTACTTCATGCAGTTTCATAAATAACCCTGTGATTACATTTGGGAAGGCGGATGTGCCTGCATCCACCACTGAAATAGCATGTAAGCAAAAGCAAAATGCAAAAAAATCAATTGCTAGGCAGCATATACGGCGAGTTCCAATATCGTATCAATTGTTCAACGACATTCAAATTTTCTCAAAATTTAAACATCGAATAGCGAAATACTACTGCTATGAGAACAGCCCATTTTTGTCATTTATTTAGAGAATGTTTTTAAAAGTAAACCAATGATAGTAAAATAATAAACATAATTCATAGGTATATTTTTAGAGGTGATGAATAGCAAGAAAACTAGAAAATATTCGAAAATTATAAGATTATAAATCTTTCTGCTTCCATCGACCCTCGCCCTACGGCCTGAACAACGCGGAGCTCAGGCCTCTACCGGGGTTAATAGAATGCACATATTAAAGAAATACTGAATTCATTACCTTTTACTCCGCATCATCATAAATCACTTTGGGAATGAGGTAATCCATTGAACTAGGTTCATAGAATTTGAGCAAAATCTTCACTTATCAATGTGCTATTGAAATTAATTACACTATGAAGCTAGTAGGTTGGTGATATTGATTTTGTCACCTCGAATACAGTCTCATTTGGAGCGAGAGAAAATGGAGACGAAAATTATTATAATTGGAGAAAGTGATTGTGAATCAGAGGCACATTTTACCAATAATAAGTCAAAAAATATAATCAATACGCCAAGACATCTCAACCAAATGCGAAACAAAAAAAGATAGAGCAACGTAGAATCAAATCATGCTACTACTTTAGGAATTTTTATTTGCTAATAAGAGAGGAAAAGTTATGAGATTGATTTAATTGTAAATAAAACAACAATTAAAATTGCCCAATGTATAATGAAACAAGAAAATCCTCAAAATGAGTAAGGGTTTTCTACTAAATTTCTGAATATTCCTTCCCGAGATCAACAGCAGCAGAAGCTGCACACTCGCATAGTAGACTCTTAGGCTTTACCTGCATTCACCTACACGTTGACAAAACCATAAGACATTCAATGTTCACATTTAAACTCTATACATTGCCGATTCTGCCGAAAATACAGGGTGCATTCTACTTAAGGGTTGTAGGCGTCGTAGCTCTGACAATATGTAGCGAATGCGTCCAGACTAACAGTATTGTCGATTTCTGTGTAATTTCCCAAAATACAGCTAATTGAGTAAGGCTTTGGAAACGTAATTTGTTAGGTGAAAATTTTCAAGTGAGTTCCTGTCCCTAAAAGATGGGCACGTTGCTTTCTCAGGGTGTGGACCAGTGCACTCAATTACAGCATGAGGTTTTAAATAGGTACAATTACATATCTATCCTATTATATGTCGGTAAAGGAAAAGTATGACAGTATGAACCTTAGATTTTATCTCAAAATACCCACTCAAAAAATACCCAATAACTACCCGAAGCCTAACTGAACTACCCGCAATTTGGGTGGTTACTCCGAAGTCGGCAACGCTAACTGATAATCCGTCACATTCTCCGCATATTGCAAACGCTATCTAATTTATAATAGAGGTCGTTGTGATTGTACTTCATTTGCGCGCTTGCTAATGTCTCTTCAACTGGATATTTCTGGAGAACATTAAATAGACTGGTCGTACGTGAGCCTATTCAATGTATTCAATTCATTCAAAACTAATCAAAAATAAAACTAATGAATACTATTACGCATGTGGGCTCGCAGATAAGTGACGACAATACCAGCACTGCTACAACCCTTCACATAAAATTTTTCAAGCGAAACTATTCACAAAATCATCTGTCCGAATAAAAACTTGGTCGATTCCAAAACTGAAATAAGCTGTGCTGAAATTGCATTGAAGTCGCGAGCTGTGTAGACAATTTCTCTTTCACGAATTTCCGAAAAACGTCGACACGATGATGCCAGATTGTGCGTCAGGGCTGTTCTACAAGTAGGTACCCAAGACGGGTTGTTATTTTGTTGGCCAGGGTGGTCAGAGTTCGTATTGGTGGCGTCATACCTGGGAACCTCAAATGCAATGTTTTGGCAACGTCTCACTGCGTATGGCATATAGCACTACTCTCTTCTAAAAGCCCAGAACAGCTTCTTCTGGTCGCATCCGTTGTTGTATACTTGTCTCTGCATGGGGCCAGACTTTCACGGGAACGACCTTTTGCTTGGCTTTCGTCAAAAGTTGACAATGTAGTACAAGTCGTTGAACTTCATGACTCCCTTCCCTCGATGTGGCCGATACAACCAGACAACTTCGCCCTCATTGAAGGTATTCATTAACTTTTGACGTTTGTCGATACTGATCTTCGTTCTGCATTGTTCACGTTTGTTCGTGGTCAAATTGTGAATCACTCTGAGTATGTATAGCCGCCTAAACTGGAACCACAGCTTCGTCATCATCGGTTGGTGATCTGCCCAGAGAAGTTTCATTTCTCTTCCAGTCATCAGCGTTGATGATTTATAGCTTGTGGCTTGTTTGAATCGATTCTTACATATTATGGCATACAAGTTTGTAGTATGTGGCTCTTTGTGCAGCAAGAAACTTAGAAAGAGTATTTAAAGTAAAATTGAATGCAGTGGGAAGTATTCTGAGAGTGTTCTCATGCGCATCCCGTAAAAAATGTTCGACTGAATTATTTATTATGACCTAAATGGAATTGTAGTAGCAAATTGTACATAGTAAACTTTAACATGTAAGAACACACGTGAATAAATAAACTCAACAGTGCATATGTAAGATTCTTGAAAATCTTTTTTTTTTCTCAATTTGTTTAATAGTATGTACATTCGATATCAAATCATATATATGTAATACTTATAATTATAAAATTATCAATTATTCGTCTACAAGGCTTTATTTATATTATTTTCAGAGCCAGCCAGGTTCGATATACCCTACAAAAATGTTTCAGTGAAACGAGGCGCAGAAATAACATTAATCTGCCACGTCCACGGTGATGTGCCAATTGAGATTGCATGGAATTTCAATGATTCACCTCTAGACCTTCACAAATTGAGGTAGGTATGCCTATATTTCAAAATTATTTTAACTAAAAAATTAGAGAGAGTACAAGTACGTATTGTAGGAAGATATTCTACGGTGGGAAAACATCATGACCATCTGGTCATTTACAGGTCAGGAACGATCAGAATAACTCAATTTATTATTATTAGTTCGTGAGATGCTATAAAAATTAATTCAAATTATGAATGCATTCATTCAAAAAAATTGGCAAATCCTAATTGGTTTCTTATTTTATGAATAGCACCATTTCTCAATATTTTTCTTTCTTTATTTATTTCATATTAACAAGTACAGGGTGTTTCAAATTCGAGCCACGTCATTAGGAACTCGGAAACGGTGAGAGATACAGATACAGGATAAAGTTGCGTAATTCGATGCCTAACAAAATGCCGCTTTGGTATTTGGGATCTTCTGAATAGTCCCGGAGATATCAAGAAAAAAAATTGTTCAATTAAAATTGTTTTTGTTAGAAAAGTAAGTATTTAATGGATCCGGAATCTATGACAATTTGGTATCAGAAGTGAGATAATGACCAAAATTTCTATCTATAGTGGCAAAATACTTATATATACATAATTTGGTTGGAGGCGCTCAGAATATTGGTCCAGATATTGTTGGCAGGATAATTGCGAGTTTCTCTTCAAAGAATAGTAAATTAGCAGTATATCACATTTTTCAATATTGAGAGTATTTAGGTTAAATCGTTACCATACGACGTTTGGACTTCTTTGACAATGTACAGACTTCAGGTCGAGACTTGCAATGGCTTATCTTATAGTTAGAGCGCCGATGACATAACTACAGGCTTGATCAACATTGCGTGACCCAGCATTAGACCTATTAGAGACTCTTGCGCCACTTGCTCAAAAATACTATGGTACGCTTGTTGATGCATTACAGCATCGTTATGGGGATCAACCGCGACGGCAGCTTCACCAGGTACAACTAAGAACAATACAGCAAGCTGTCGCATATTTACAAGAATTCGAAACCGATATTATCGTCTGGATAATTTGGCCTACCCGATAGTAGCAGCCGGAATGCGAGAACAACAAGCGGCCGAAAATTTCATGAATAGAACTAGAGATATATAGGTAGATGTATAGTAAAGAGAATGCTGCTCATGACCAATCCATCAATCAGTCGAAGCTGCCTATAAAAACAAAAAATCAGATCTGTGTCAATACCAAGAAAAGGAACCAATAGGATAATTCATTAAAGCCTGGATGAAGGAAATTCTAGAAGAAATACGAAGCAGACCAGAACCAATCAAGGGAACTTGGAAGCGGGCATCCAATTTTGCCGCTGCGGAAGAAGAAATTTGAAACTTGACTGTAGAAAACGGCTAAGACCTCGGTCTTTTTTGGTGTTGGCTAGTGCAAATGAAGCTCCCAGAATCATATCCATCATCATAATGCTAGGGAGCACTGCAGACAGTTCGACTTATAAAAAAGACTATATTTCAAAAAATAAAAAAATATTACCATAACAGTGGACACCGACGCGCCGTATTTCTAACTAATTTCAAGATTGTCAAAGGATTAATGCTTCGAGGGGAGTTATTCCATGCTGACTGGAGAGGCCGCAAACGTATATGGTGCAACAGAAGTCGGTCTGAGTTAAGGAAGTATCAAGATTTATCACACCGTGCTCATTTCTTTTTGAAAGATGAGTTTATTTCAACATGGTTTTACGTTCGAAAACCAGCTCAAGATCCTAAAGTTTGGCACTGGAGAGTTTGTTCTGTCCAAAACCTAGAATCCTATGTCCGTCACCGCAAAACCTACGCAAACTGTAGAAATACACGACAACACCGAACAAATTATATGTGGGCAGTTGGAGAATGATTCTTGAAGCAAGGTTGGACTTGTACAACCACACCAATCTCACAATAAGCCCTCGTTAGGAAAATATTGGTGAGCTCACAACGTATCATATCAGTCCGAATAGCAAACCTTTGCCATAACACTATTTGAATCAAAAAAAACGTTGTCATACTCACCTATGAGTCTGTCGAAGGGATTCCAAGGCAAGAATGGAAATATATAACGCCCTTTTTGATTTGGAGAGTGTTGTGGCAAAAGGTTTGCTAACCTTATGCGGTAAATAAGGAGATGTTGGATAATGAGCACTTGAAGCTTAACATATTATAATCTTAGATATGTTGAAGGATAGATTGTTGCTGTCGCACCAGGTTTTTATCAAATCTAGAAAAGGTGGCCAAGGATAGAGCCCTGAGACACACCGCACTTCTTGCTTATTCTATCCGAAAACCCGCCATCATATGAAACTACCTGCTGACGGTTACCTAGGTACGACTGAACCCCAATTAAGAGTTACCTCTAAAACCATACACTTCAAGGTTACGGAGCAACACAAAATTATCGACACAGTCGAAAGCCTTCGAGAAGTCACCAAACACCGTTGTTGAAAGGTGATTCTTATTTGTACTCAAATAGATATCTTTCACGAGGGAGAATATCGCATCATATGTTCCTCTGCCACACTGGCCCAATTGATTATCGAGGAGGGACCTGCTTAGATTGAGGAATAAAGTAAGTCTAATTTAGACCAGTTTCTCAATCAGCCTACCAATTGGAGGAAGAAGAGAAATAGGACGGACACTTGCTCGAGAGTCTGAGTCTCCCCCCTTGTCAAAGGAATTATTTATTGCATCTCCAAGCGGAGGAAAACCCCTATCGTTAAGATAAAGTAATAGTTTAATGGATATTATGCCATCATAGCCCGAAGAATATTTTTTAGTGTTATAAGGGTTTCTTTGATCACAGGTGCATCGACTGGTGCCAAGAAGGAATTTGAGACATTGTTGTCTGTCAAATAGGCTAAGGGATTGACCCCCGATTCGAGCTGGGATGAAAGCGCTCCAGCCTCGGCTCCAGCTATAGAGCAAAAGAAAATATTTAGATTTTCAGGAAACATGTTGGATGAAGAGACCTGGGAGCGAGAACATTCACATCTTATTTTATTATTTATAGACCATGCCTTCATGTTATTAGAATTAGACATTCGTTTGCTGAAATGAAGTGTTTTTGCAGCCTTGATTAACTTTCTATAGATGATTCGATACTTTATTAACAGGGACAAAAGAAATACACTAGTACGGAAAAACTTTTTGAGATAGTGCAGACGTCGCATGTTTCTTGCAGATATCCTAAGTCCTTCGGTAAGCCATCCGCCACCTTTCTTTTTCTGTCTAATTGCGACTATAGGAAAGGCTTGAATAAATGTTTTGTTCAAGGCACTGTGAAAAGAAGCTAGTGGGTTTCCGCACTCAGGAGATAGCCAAACACTCCTCGCAGAGCTTGTGAAACATAAAGAAGTTACGTTCTCCACAATATACGACCCCGTCTCGTCATTCTGTTGATAAATTGAAAACAGACAATACCGCCTCATGATCAGAAAGTGAAGCATTCAAACCAAGAGACATTCTCAAAACCAGAACACACATAATCTAAAGTCAGACAATCTAGTTGGTTCCACAACATGCATAATTAGATTGAAACTCACTAATATGTTTTGAATTTAATTTCGAGTATTGGAAGCATTTTAATCAACGTTAAAATCCCAGTCAGAACAATCGTCGCAAGAGGGGGGAGTTGACAGATGTCGACATGGAATCCGAACATGCTAGCGATTTGCGAAAAAGGTTGCTTTACGTCCATGAAATAGTTGGAGAAAGGACAGATGAGCTTGTAAGTTACCGAATGAAACCCATCTCTAGGCGAACTATGTAGGCTTCTTGGAGAACGACAGAGTTCGGCTTTATGACCCCTCAAGGAAAAAAAAGTAGATTAAAGTTAAACAGCTCAAAGGCATTAAGGTGAATGAGTGTGGACTAGTTGGAGAAAACAAGAATATATATTTCAATGATGACCTTACAAGGCTTAATCAGCAGTTGTTCAAAAAGCCAAGAGATGTAAAAAAAAATTATAATTTTAGAGCCGCATATGTACATTATGGAAGAATATATATAAAAAAAAAATGAAAACGAAGAACCTATACGAATAAGAAATGAGAGCGACCTCATAAAAATCCAACCCACACAAAGATCTTAAACCAAATACTTTTTGATTAGAACTAACCCAAACTTATAATAACAAAGCCCATATAGCAAAGATGGATTGCAACACATATATAAACATATTGTACATAAATATAAGAAGCTTAAGGATGAAAATACAGGAATTGATAGACATAATAGAGGGTAACCAAGAAATAATACATGTAATTATACTATGCGAAACGTGGATTTTTCCAAATGAAGTCGACTATTCAAATCTGCCAACATACACTGCCATACATGACTGTAGAATCACACGAGGTGGTGGCTCTGCAATATATATAAAGGATGGTTTAAATTATATCATAAATAATTGTACAGAGTCATTACCCAAAGACTGTAATATTGTCTCGATATATCTCCCAGATCAAAAACTTACCATTTATGGAGTATATCGACCACCACAGAATAAAATCCAAAACTTTTTACCAGAATTTGACAAAATATTGGAGAAGCATAAAAAAAAGTGTGTAATTATAGGCGATACAAACTTGGACTTATTGAAAGCTTCACAGGCAAAAACTGATTATACTAATATAATAGAAATAAATTGATATCAAATGAAAAATAAACTCTCAAAAGAAGATGCTACCCGAGTCACAGATAAAACAGCTTCAATACTTGACCATATTATAACAAACCAGAATCTAACCTGCGAAATAAATATGAATGATAATAGTATATCGGACCATAAAATTATTCATGTGAGAATGAAAGAGAATATAAAAAATAACAAAGAAAAGATAAAAAAGAACATTATAAACACTGAATTATGGCTAACTACTTTACAAAATGAAATAAACCAAGGAGAAGTCAAATCGTTCAATACATTAATTGAAATAATAAAAAGAACAAAAAAACAATGTACAAAAGAGCATGAAATTAAAATAAAAGAACAAAACTATTGGATCA